ATATCAAACTAGGCATGATTTAAACTACTGTATAGCAATATTAAACATAAATGGAAGTGTTCAAATATAATGGAAAACAAACACAAACTGTTTTTTCTGCTTATACTGTTTTCCCCTTTCTGAGTGGTCGCTGTAAATGACAAACTGTCCTGTTCTTCCAACACAACAAATGACAGACATCAACAAAGAAGCCAGGCTTTGATTTCATATATTCTATGTGCACGTCATGAAATAATAATAATAATAATAATAAAATTTGGCTAATCCCACAACTAGTCTGCTTTAAAACATAAAAACAATAATGATTTGGTCAGAACGGATCAAATTAAACAATCAAATAACAAATCAGATATTAAACACTAAGACGAGAGGAGGTTTTGGCACTAAGGTTTCGTCAAAGCCCTGCATACTGCCCGACAAAGTTACAACAGGAGTTCATCTCAGTGATGCTTCTGCTGTGGTTATACTGCTCCACATAAGTCATATGAGTGTGTGTGTGGGTGTGCATGTGTGTGCGTGTCGATATGCGTCAGCCGAGGAGCGGGGATCGTAGTGACCATTCAGAAAGGGTACGTGGCCGAGGGGCCGAAGGCTTCTTATAAGGCCTCGAACTCGTCGATCCTCTGTTTGGTGTTGCCCTGCCGGATCTGCCGCAGGGTTTTGTATTTGTCTCGGCCGGCCCGGACGTTCTCACTGTGGAGCAGGTCGTTCTGGGTATTCTTGGATTCATCACGCGCCTGAGCCAACTCTGAGGTCAGGGCCTGAGGGAGGAGAGGGAGACGCAGCATGAAATGAGAGGAAACCAACAACACGGCTGCTTTTACCATTCTAACATAAAAGCAGAAGTTAACAGTGACGCCATGAATCTTTTTTTGCGTCTATAAAATGTACGGTTGTTTGTAGAAAGTACATTTTTCACTACATGGTCGAGTAATTTGAGGGAACTATGTAGAATATGGCGGACAGTAACTGTGGTGCACTGCAGTGTAAATAGGGCGCCACTCTCTGGATCGAGTCCTCACCTTGAGCTGATTCTGCACGCGCTCGTTCTTCTCGGCCTCGGTCAGGCGATCCTCCTCGTTGCGGTGGTCGTTGATGCCCTCGTACTGCAGGTCGGCGCTGTGCGTGCTGGCGTTCTCCTCGCTGGCGTTCTCCTCGCTGTCGCTGTTGTCGTCCATCTGGTCGTACATGGGGGGAGGGGGAGGTGGTGGTGGGGGCGCCGTCATCACCATGTGCAGCTCCTCTTTGGTCTTAATCAGATCGTCCTGAGCCTCCTGGGCCTGGTGAGAGCAAGCGGGACAAGTAACAGAGGAGGTCGGTGAGTGGAAAAACTTTTAGGAGTCATTTTAACACTAGCTCCTGTTTGGCCAGAACTTATGAGAGGAAGAGTCTACACAGAATTCTAAAGCTCTCACCCTGAGCTGCCATGAGTCAGCCTCCTCCTCCTTGCGTTTCTTGGCCTCCTCCAGCAGGGTGATCTTGGCTGTGTGCTCTGCCAGCTCCGCAGCCTGGTACAAAACAACAGGACACACAATTATTTAAGAGTTCAGATTTGAAAACACAGTTTGATAAAGACGTTGATGTGATTGTGATTTACTAAAAGCACGACAACAACATTTTCCTTCTTTGCACAACTTTCCTATTCGTCCTTGTTTTAAATGTCGTGTTTATATCTGAATGATGCAACAAACACTAACTATACAACAGTTTTCAATATTTTTTATTGATCGACTAACCCTTAAAAAAACCTGACAGATGAAGCAGACATGGGCCGAGAAAGAATCCAACAAATGTTGAAGTCAGTCTTGACGAGGGGAAGACCTTTTTTTTTTTTCAGCAGGCATGTTTAGGGAACTCGTATCTATGTGTGTGTAATTTGGAGCGGACTGTTGCCAGAGGTATGTGCTCTACTGAGTGCCATTCTAGTTATTAATGTGAAAACAGCAACAGCAGGAAATAAAGGAAGCTGCTGCTTTGACAAGTCTCCAGATGAAACCTAACCAGACTCTGTGGGTGTTGCGGTACGTTCCTGCTAACCGCCACAACAATGGAGACAGCTTCTCTTTCACCAGACTGAACAAACCACAGGCTCAGTATTATAGACGTTGCTATAATCAGTGTATGTTAAAGTCACTGAATGTGAGACCGGTCACTCGGTGAAAACACGCTGTTGGTAGTAAGTTACCGTTTGTGCTTTCAAACATTTAAAACAAGTTGGAATCATTAAACGAGTCCAAAGTCTTATTTCATCCTGGTCAGTGAACGTTAATCCTCCGCACAAGCTCCTTAGTAGGATTTAGGTATAAAAGGCGTCGCAGCAGGTGTCTGTCCAATAAAATCTGCTGGTGTTTGACTGCCAGTGTCTGAACGTGTCAGAGGAACCACAGCTTTCCACACACACACACGCCTGTGAGAGGTCCACAGCCGAGCAGCTCGGGGTGAAGGAGAGGGGGTGGTTAGTGTGAAGTGACTGGGCGTGGTCCAGCTAGATGCTCCTAAGTGGTTTTGTCTGGAGCTACAGAAGCCAGGCACGGCTGAATGCACCACCCTGTAATGTGCCCGGTGCAGACCTGGACAAAGCTGAACGTAAGGTGAGAACTAGGAAATAGACAGGTTGACTTTTGCATATCTGGCAAATAAGATGTTGTTGATAAGTCTGCACATTCCCCCCCCCCCACCTATTTTTCTATTTTTTACTTGTGCCGCTGTTGGAGATTCTTGTGTTCATCTAATTTTGAAGTCACAGCAGATGGAAAATTTGGCGACACAGTCAGTGCAGAAGCCCAAACAGCCTCGCAGTGTTATTAAAATACTGACCAGCTGCTCCTGGTCCTTCTTCTGGTACTCAGCCTGGCGGGCGAGCTCCTCTTTAGCCAGCAGTGCAGCCTGTCGCTCTGCCTCCAGTCGAGCCGCCTCCTCCTCGGCTCTCCTCCGCTCCTGCTCCAGCATCATGGCTCTCTGCAACTGGTCCTGCAGATCTAAAGCACAGAAAATTAAGAATAAAACTCCATATATACAGATCGAATTGCAGCTGAAGTCACTTAACAGTTGTGGGTTTATTTATATAGAACGATTTGCTCAATCTAATCATTTGCACACACACACTTTCTATTCTGAGGTCAAAGCCACTGAACGTCCCTTTGTGCAGCGTCCACCTCCCCCGCCTCACCTCGCTCTGCCTTCTTGGTCTTCTCCTCGAACTGGTAGAGCCTCATCATCAGATCCTTCTTCTCTCGCTCCATCTGCTCCTTCTCTTTCTCTATGGCCTCTCTCTTCTTCTTCTCGTTCTCCAGCTGGGCCCTGCAGATAAGACACAGCCGCCGTGAGCCGACAGACACGCAGCCGATGATGTACGATGGCCGCTGACGGACAATGGTCAGTGACACACGAGCGGAGATTCAGCACAGGTTTGCACACCGCTGCTCTGGCACCACTGACTTAGTGGTGATTTACAGTTGAATCTTATTATTACACTTTCACATGTATTTGGCATTTACGCATTTTTTCTTGATCGAGTCTATTAAAAA